TATAACTGGTACCAGTGTGTGGTAGTGCTGGTGCTGGTCCTGGTTAAACTGGTTTAAACTGGTCACATAGTCTTTCCGGGACTCTTCAGCAGCTTGTTGTTTCTGCTGAGCTGTCTGACGCGCCTGAAGAAGAGGAAGAGTTTTAAACCAACAGCAGACCTCTTACAGTGAAATGTCATTTACAGATACAGAAAATTAGCGTCTGTCACAACATGTAGTTGAATAATAATGAAAAATGAGGGACATTACCTTCAGTGAGCAGCGCTGAGACACAGAAACAGGAGTTGGGGGTTAGTTAAATAAGATCATCATGATGGATTCAAACTGCTTCCACGGATGTGTATCAGCTGTTTTATTCATCTTCTACAGTCATTCACAGCTAACGCTAACCCTAACCCTGGCCACTAGCTGACCACTAACAGACGACCAGTAGCATCCAATCATATTACCCAAGGGCTGTTCCTTTGATCCAGCCTCCCGCTGATGGGATTTATTCATGTTCATATGTATTGGACTCTGTGTACTGGATTAATATTCATACCTTTTCTCCGTCCGTCTTGTTGTCGAGGTCGATTCTGTCGGAGATGTGTTGAGCTCGCTCCGCCTCCTTACAGTCACGTTCAAACCGACGTTTACTCTACAGAACATCAAGACAACAAATCAGAACACAGTACTTCACCTGCTCAGCTGTCAGTGAAGGTGTTAATATGTGGTCAGGGTGGAGGCGGAGTCAGGTGGGTGGTGGGCGTGGTGTGGGTGGGCATGGCCACTTACAGACTCCAGCTGTTTCCAGGAGCTCTCAATGTGCTGCTGGGCACGGCGGCCATCTTGGAAATGCTGCAACAACACAAACTGTTAAAGTGGTCAAACTGAACGTTGTAGTCTGACGGAGGATCTGAGGGTCTGGACGTCAGCTTTAACTCTGGCTTGTCAGGACTATGGCAGTGGTTCACTTCTCATTACGTAGCTCACCATGGTAACAGATGCCGAACACCTGGGCGGCTCCAGAGCAGGTGATGCTCCAGATAAGAGATATTAAAACACCTCCTACGGACCAATCGGCTCTCTGCTCTCCCTGTGATAGGGTCTCTAGGTTTTCAGAGCTGCAGTTTCAAAAGGCATTTTCTCGTTCTTTCTGCCTTTAAATATGAACATAACCCTAAAACAGAAACCGATTAAACACTAAAGCCCTGTCCTTGTTGACTTTATAAGATCTGCAGTGAGTGGACTTATCGGTTTGAATGATGTTCTCACATTTGTTCTTCACTTGCTTTAACAGCAGCTTTAACAGCTGAAGAATCAAACTGTCGGACACATAATAAGAACATCACAGATCACTGAATTGAAAATACTTTTATTACTTATTATTTGCATTATTTGTACATTTGTCATTTGGTTACACAGTCTTGTGTTGCATAAGGGTCAGCGATAAGTTAGCTAAAGGTTGAATAAGAAGTCTACATCAAAGCAAGTTACAGCAAATGAAAACCTTTCCCTGACAGGGCCTTGTAAGAGGCAGTGATATTGATAAAACTATTCACATTGTGAAGTGTGTTTCCTGAACTCAAACTCCTCCTGTTGGATGATGTGACAGATATTCAGCTCCTGTCTACGTCTGTGATTGGTCCTCTGGTGCCCACTGTTCTTAAAGTAATTCTTTGGCCTTTTGCCTTTAGGAAGGGACAAGAGGTGTGTCGGACTCCATCCATGGCCGCTGACTCGGGGACGTTTAGACCTTATACAACCTGTTGAGCTATCGGGGCGCCCAACTCTGCCCTTTTAACGTGAGCGCGCTCAGAGCAGGTTCAGAACCTCTGGTGGTGTTAACTAGTTGATAACAGCTCAGTGTGTCCACTGATCCCAGCAGCAGTTTTTTTCGGTTTAGTGAAGCTAAACGACAGAAATACAGAGAAAACTCTGATGGACAGTCAGATAGCAAACAGCTTTAATTACTGGTCCTCAGATACTCAGACTGTACAGATGACACTTTAACAAGCAGCCCAGAGTGACTCTACAGAGTGCTGATGCTGAACATCAACCAACACAGAGAAGAAACCTTCACATCAATATATAGAAAGTTAACATCAACTCTCATGAAAAGTTTCTATTATAAACCAGTCAGCCATTAGATCAGGTGAGTCAGGTGTTTCCCATCATGCCCTGCAGCTGCGCAGAGTGCTGATCTCACGACATTATGATTGTTCAGCTTGACAGACGTCAGAGTAAGCAGGGATCAAGTCAGACAGGAATCTAAAGGTCACCTCATGGCAGGTCTGACTCTTCTCCACTTGATACAAGGGGCGTGGCCTTGTATCTATGGCAACAGGGGGTGTGGCCTTGCATCTATGGCAACAGGGGGCATGGCCTCAAATATATGACTGAAAGGGGGCATCACCTATGGCTGCAGGGGCGGGGCTTACAAACTGCTGGTGTCAGACAGAATCAGGGTGACTGATTAAAGCAAAGGAATATGGGTCACTTTGTATATTGTTAGATTGACAGTCTTCCTCTTTGTCTTCAGCTTCTGACTGTTAGTATTTGAGTCTTTGTTGTTTATTTGTTGATTGTTTATGTTTGTTTACTCACAGTCTTCCTCTCCGTCTTCAGCTCCTGGGTGTATCGGGTCAACTCACAGACGATCTGTGTGTTCAGGTTTTCAGCGAGTTCTTCTTTATGGACTGCAAGTTCATTTAGCTGCTGAAGAGTCGCCGCAAATGACAAACACCAGGTGTACCTGAAACAGCCAATCAGACAGCAGGTGTACCTGAAACAGCCAATCAGACAGCAGGTGTATCTGAAACAGCAAAGCAGACAGCAGGTATGGTGTGTTCTAACCACAGACTGTAAACAGATGGACGTAGCTGCCGTGACGTCACCCGCTGGTTCCTGCTCTGAGAACATGAAGCCAGGGTTTTGCTACTTCCTGGTTGACATCTTGGATTTTTGGAGCCAGTGACGCAAAAATCGTGGGAGGGGGGCGGAGCCATAGGAGCAGCGATTGGTCAGACAGATTGAGAGGCGGGCCCTATCTGCCCCGCCCACATTTACCGCCTTCTGTATGGTCGCTGCCGACTGTCAATCAAGCCAGCCACGCCCCTTGCCCCGCAACATGTTGACGATTTTTAAAAATTCAGGATTGATTTATTTTCAGATTGGCCACCTGATCTCTGGATTTGACCATGAAAAGTAATTTTTAAAAAATCCTGAGCTTTAGGAATGCAGTATTTGGTGATCTGTGATCACTTCTTTTCCA